CAATCTTTGGGAGACTAGCCAGCAGAATATGTAACAGCCAATCCCCCTGTTCATGCTGGCTGAAGATGGGTTTTAATAGGTAAGGGATAACATGGGTCATCCATTGATTCATGGGATTTGACCACTAATAGAGGTGAGGGAGCCAGCCATCCTAGCTGTGGGATGTGACCACTTAGGGGGTCCTGTCAGCCGCCCTAGCTGTGGGATGTGACCACTTAGGAGGTCCTGTCAGCCGCCCTATTCTTGCTAGGTGAGGAGCACCATGCTTTCTCCCTTGATTTGTGGGATTTGACCACTGATGTAACTGTTCCCATACTCCAAGTGGGCAGTTGACAGTGAGCTGGAGAGTCTGCAGCTTGGGTCTGCAGGCGAGCTTGGGACTGCAGGCAGACTTGGGTCTGCAGGCGAGCTTACAGGCGAGCTGAGTCTGCAGGCGAGCTGAGTCTGCAGGCGAGCTTGGGACCGTAGGCAGACTTGGGCCTGCAGGTGAGCTTGCAGGCGAGCTGGGTCTGCAGGCAGGCTTGGGGTCTGCAGGCGGATTTGGGACTGCAGGCAGACTTGGGTCTGCAGGCGAGCTTGCAGGCGAACTAGGTCTGCAGGCGAGCTCGAGTGTGCAGGCGAGCTTGTGACTGCAGGCAAACTTGGGTCTGCAGGCGAGCTTGCATGCGAACTGGGTCTGCAGGCGAGCTCAGGTGTGCAGGCAGACTTGGGTCTTGATCGTGCAGGCGAAATTCGAGCTGCAGGCGAGCTCCTGAGCATGGATCGAAGAATAGGCCGTAACTTTCAAACCGTAAGTCGGAATTGGACAAATTATATATAAAAATCTCCTATCTCGACGAGATGGAGCCATCCGAACCAAGTCAAAGGCTTTGGTTCGCTTCCTCCGTTTCGCCAAATTCCTTACGGTTTGGGAGATATCTGCGTTTTTCCCTTTTTATCAGTGTTTTTCCCCTTTTTGCTATTTCGGGCGAGGTTTTAGCAGTTTTGTTCTAAACTTCTCTGATAAGGATTTAAAGGTAATTTTTATTGCCTACAGCAACCTATGACTAAGATTACCCAAATATGCCGAAGTTCGAACACCAAAACCAATGCTCAACATCAAACGTCGATCCTACTCCAGTAAGAAACGACCCATCAAAACTGTCATCTTATCTCATCGCCCTAATGTTTCCTCTCCAATAAACTGTCTCAAACTATCATGAGCTCGGCACAAACACAGAAAAGAACCTTTACAAAAAACAGAATAACATGTTACATTTCTGCTAATACACTTCCTCCATCTGTTATTGACTACTAGGACTTCATTCTAACGGGACTTGGTTGCAACCCACAAATTCCTAGAACAGTCCCCAACATATGAAACCAAATACCGATTACCTCCTAATGATGCCTCCTTGGAAGGCCCCCAAATGTCTGAATGAACACCACCTAGAAGACCCCTCGCTCGGTGAATAGAAGTATCAAACTCCACCTCGGTCTCCTTGCTCATACCAATGTGCTCACAGGACTTCAATCTGTAGGTCAAAGCACTCATCAACAATCCATGCACGACACTAATAATTGAATAACCGAGCCTCGACAAACGTCACAGTCTAGCCAAATCCAAAGAAGTCGTCAGCTCTCTACCAATCACCGTGCTTCTAATCAAATTATACAAATTATACAAATTCTTCCTCCTGACGCCCTCCATCACAATCATGAACCCAAATGTAACCTTCAGAGATACATCCTCTAAGATCACCCTATAGTCTGCTACCTCCAAAACTCCAAGTAAAATGATGTTTTTCTTCAACTGAGGAACGAACCTCACTTCATCCAACTCCCGAATCACTCCGTCACACATCCTAATATGAACGGTACCGATATCACCAATAGGACATCCATGATCATTACCCATGAACACGATATCTCCTCTTTCTAACTCCTCAAAGCTGGCGAACCAATTCCTCCTAGGACAAATGTGATAAGAAGCACCGGAATCTAACATCCACTTTGTAGAGTCGGCAACACAAACTGACAGTAGTGCAGGGCACGAATAGCCCGAAGAACCCGAATCTGAATTGTCGCCACTAGCCTTGGCAACATTTACCTTTGAAGCTTGAATCGCTTTCTCCTTATTCTTCCCGGCTCGATCAACCAACTTTGGGCATTCAGATTTCTAATTTCCATCCTCTTTAAAAAAGACACACTGATCCCTATGGACTCCAGGATGTGCCCCTCTAGACTGCGAGCTCCTATTTCGGTTTGGACTCTTTGCTCTTGCAACCAATGCCCCCTCTACCGGCTCAATTGATGTATCCTTATTCTTCTTTCGAAGATGATAATTCACAAGTGTAACGGTGATCTCACTATATGAAAAATATGTTTTCCCATTAATCAGAGTAAGGACGAATGTCTCATATTCCTCGTCAGGTAAGGAACTCAACAACAGCAATATCTTGTCATCATCTTCAACCATAACATCTATATTCTCCAAATCCGCAAGAAGTTTCATGTAGTGGTTCATGTGATCACCAATAGAGGTTCTTTTCTTCAATTGGAAGCGGTAAAGCATTCTCTTCAAATACAAGCGATTTTCCACACTCTTGGTTAAATACTTACTCTTAAGGATCTCCCAAATCTTCTATGCTAAAGTCCCATTGATCACATCATATTTCAAATCTTGAGTTAAATAAGATCTAATCACACCACACGCCGTTCGATTCATCTTCTTCCAAACCTTTTCCTTAACGTCGTCTGGTTTCTCGTCCAACTTCAACATCTCTTCCAAATTTTGTGCGTTGAACGCATCCAAGACTTCACATCTCCAAAAACCAAAATTGTTAGTGCCGTTAAACTTCTCAACATCTATCTTCATAGAGTGGATATTCAAACTTTGGACGGTCTTCATGCTGAAAGTACCCTCCACAACTCCTCCTTTCTCAGCCATTTTTCTCATAACACTAACAAACCAATGCGGAACAAACAAAGAATAGATATAAACTGAAAAAGAGAGATTTTTACCTCCAACTGAAACCCTAACAATGGTCTCCAAAAGATCTCACCCCCACACGACGGTAGACAAGATCCAGAATAGTAAAAATCCTACCTTTATCACCAACTGAAGCCTTAGATGAACTTTCAAAGTGATCTACTCCTTCAACTAGCCCAACCGTAGCCCAAGCTCTGATACCACTTGTTGTGCGCGAAAGCCACCAATCGTTGTGCTTCGAGAAACCAAACACAAATGCCGAGAGAGAAAGCTAAACAATGCAAAATAACAGCACAAACACATACAACCAATTTTACGTGATTCGGCAAGTTACCTACGTCCACGGGGAAAGAAAGGGATGGGTTTTCACTAATAGAGAATAAGAGTACAAACTGAGATTACAAATCACTCAACAAAGCTCTCAATCTCACCAACAAAGCTCTCAATCTCTCAAACAAAACCCTAACCAATAGCTCAAAAAGATCTCTCTTTTCTGTGCTCCAAATATCCCAACAACAACTCCCCAGAAACCCTAAAACGTGTTGGTATTTATACCAAACACCAAACTAATTCAGAACAGGAAGCTGGAAATTTGGGTCTGACCCGATACGTAGCCGACCGCGGTGGTCAACCGCGACAAATGACAGAGCCCAAAAAACAATTGCAGGCTTTGGTGGTCGTTCGCGACAGTCGACCGCACCTAACTCCAGACTCTCGGGTTTGGGTTATAGGGTCTGGCGTCTACCGCGGTGGTCAACCGCACCAAGACCTGAATCAAGCCCATGGTCCGTGAACGAATACAGACGACCGGCCTTGCACCGTGGTCGACCGCACACCGCCAAAAACCAATTCCTAGTTCCAAAACCTATTCTAAACCAATTCCTTTGCTAAATCTACACCAAGTGCCTCTGACTTGTCATCTATATATGACTTCTTTACAAATATGATGAAAGTATGCTATTTCAAATTCAAATCTTTTATTGGAAAATTACCCAAATAGAATTTTCCATCATTATGACTTTAATTCAGTCTCTTTAATTTGCAACTATCTACATGAGGAAGAAAATCTAATTTGAATAAATGGTACTTAATTTGAATTTAGAACCAATTAACATGAAGAAATTACAGTACTCGTCTATCTTTTGAGACAATCTCCACCATTACAATGTTTTTTTATTATAACCATACTATTTTGTTAAAATTCTCGTATTTATTGTCTGAGAAACTTTTGATAAATAATTAGCCTCATTAATTGGCCTTCACCCTCTGAGGGATACATGCATCTTTTGACAGTAATCTTTTCAAATCTCTGTTACAACTCAAACCCATGTCATCTTAAGTAAATTACTTAAGAACCATATTAATGTTAGACAGAATCAACCTATGCTTTTGTGACAAGTTAAAAAATGTAATATCAACATTTATTACAAAAGCAATTAAGAGCTTGTCTCCTAGTATTATCTTAATCCACTAAATCAATTTACTCACAAATTACTTGACATTCAGAAGAAGTACATAAAATGATTTACGAGTCTAAAATAGTTTTCTACTTGATGAATGACATAGAAAATACAGCTCAAAGTAGGTAATAGCACAAGTAGTGTATAGATCTAACCTTACATACGCTAGTGACACAAGTAGGTGTCATACTAAACAAAAACAAGTGACATTTTTTTTTTCTTTTTTAAAGGAATTACATTAAAAAGTATTTACAATATGTTATCTAAACGACTTAACCAAGAGATTTCATATACATGAAGGCCACGTGCTCTTTGTTGTGTGGAATTGAGAAGGAAAGAAGAGGGCAAGATATAGAGATATAGAGGAATCTTAGACGTGGGATTGCGAGAGATCCGGCGACCCTTTTGCTTCTTGTTCTCTCTCTCTCTCTCTCTCTCTCCCTCTCTCTCTCTCTCTCTCTCACATTCATTCACTCGTTTATGCCAGCTAACACTCACTTCACAAAAATATGTATATATATATGCAAGTGTTCATCAAAGTTCTACATGTAGTAATATACGAACTAAAGTCCTAGCTCATCCATGCAAGAAAAACACCACACTTATAACTAAGCTTTCTCTTACTCTCTACATCCTACCTCTTAGTTCTTCATCAATCTTCAATGGCACTTGCTAAGGAGCGAATTCGCCAAAATTCACAATCATCTTTTTCTCAAGGGATTGATCCTTCAACCATCGAGTTTTTTGGCTCTGAGAGTCACATCCCTATTTCTAACTTCGCTTTTATGAATGCTCTCCCTTATGAAGCTCAATCTAGCGCTAGAGTCAATAATTGGGCCTATACCAATTCTTCGTTGCTTAGTTTCGAGCAATCCAAGCTTGATAATGAGGAGGCATGTGCACTTTGGATTGATAGTATGGATCATGATCAATATGGATCAAATTGCGCAAATTCTAGATCGCTAAGCCAAGATTATGGGGAGGATAGGTTCGGGTTTCTATACCCAGATTCAAGCTCAATGGATAGTGTTCAAGATAGTGGAGAGGTAGAGAGAAGCTCTCAAAAACGCCCATATATGGTACTATAATCTATAGCATAAAATTATTTAACATGAGTTTTTAATATGTGTTTTGATGTATAATTCTATGATTATGTTTTATGTGTAGAGTGGTGATGTGCAAGTTTCTAAGAAACTTTGTGGAAATAATAAAAAGGCCAAGGCAAAACCTTCTCCTTCAAAGGACCCCCAGAGTATTGCAGCAAAGGTATTTATCTTGTTGTATCTCCTTGAATTGTTTCGAAGAGTTAATTTAATTCATGCGAAATATATAACTGAGATTATAAGTTCATTTTTTACGTAGAATCGAAGGGAGAGGATAAGTGAAAGGCTCAAAGTTCTTCAAGATCTTGTGCCTAATGGCACAAAGGTTGATTTGGTAACCATGCTAGAGAAAGCCATTAGCTACGTAAAATTCCTACAATTGCAAGTGAAGGTAATAGCACAAAATTTTGAAGGACTAACTATAAGTTTAATGCAATGTTTTCTTATGTTGATAATGAATTAAGTTTGGCATTTGATTTCAACGAAGGTATTGGCTACCGATGAATTTTGGCCTGCCCAAGGGGGGAGAGCACCTGAGATTGCTCAAGTGAAGGAAGCCATTGATGCCATCTTATCTTCTCATAGAGATAGGAATTCTAGCTCTAAGCAATGAGCTCTTTGAAGGATACATTGGGAAAAATCAAAATAGAAATTACAAGTGTTTTATGAATGCAAAGAGAGAGGAATGAGAATTTTCCTATCTTTCTTTAATGCAGTTTTTAATCTTTATTATGATGTAATGTTGAAGTGATTAACATCTGAAGATATAGAAGTATATGCAGCCCTCTTGTTTCCTCAAGGGTGCAGTCACTCTTTTTTTTGTGGTTTTTATTTTTTTATTTTTATTTTTATTTTTTTTGGGAGGGGGGCAGACACTCAATTTTTATTTGGACTGAATTTTAATTATTTATGGAATAACATTTGTATTGATTTTTGGATTATATGTAGAGGAGATTAGAAAGTCAATGAAAATTGTAGCCAAATTGCTTGTTGCAGGTACTAACTTGACTTTAAATTGCAATTAGCATGGGCATGAAAAGCCATGCACATGTTCAAATGATGCCTCTTTATATATGATAATAATTTCTTCTCAAAGGAAAATCATGGATATAATTGAAAACTAGCAATTCTTTAGTAAACCATTCATTCACATAGTTGCCAATCAATCATACAAGGGTTAATTGCAGATACACATTCAATAATATTGTGTTTTGAACTTACTGTCCCTCTAGTTTTATTTTTGAAGATAGACCCCTGAGCCAACTTTTTACTCTTTTACCCTCAAAGAAGGATAATATTATCTTTTGACAAATAGACCCTGAATGTAAAAGAGTCAAATTTTTCACTCGAGGGGTCTGTCTGCAAAAAATATAACTAGAATGTAGTAAGTTCAAAACAATAATACTACAGGCATTTGTATCCGCCCATCATATAAATACTTGCTCTATTAAGAATAGCAATTCATAAACGTAAGAAGTTTTTAAATGAAAAGCAATTTGGCTAAGTTTACTGTCACAGACTGACGTCAAACCTCAGAAAAAGAATTTAGTTCATACTAGTGCGCAATGCTCTCGATATTGTAGGCTCTGGGAAGGGTCAGATGTTCGCAGCCTTACCCCACTTTGCGAAGAGGCTGTTTTCAACATTCGAACCCATGACCTCCAGGTCACAAGGTGGCAACCTAAGTTAGTTAATAACGAGATATATAAAAGGAAGGTAGTATTACAGAAGTCGAAGGTGACATGAATACATATACACTTCTCAGAACTAATTAGCTAGTGTCACAAATATATATCATCAAATAAATCTCATGACACATCTCAGCATAATTTATTTGTACCGAAATATATCAGCAATTCTATCCATAGACAGATAAATGAGACGATAAGTCTTTCAAAGTGTTTGCAGTTTAAATTGAGACAAGGACAGCACTTCAGACTCCAGTAAGTTTATACGATTTTAATCCATGAGTTTGTCCTACTAAGTTTCAGGGGAAATTCACCTCAGAAAAAAGACTGAGAGAAATATTGCATATATCTATTTCTTTCTTGAAATAATATTCAAATTTTCTCTCTTCTTTCTCCTAGTATAAAAGATTGGAACGTATCACGTAGTTTTATTAATTAAATCAAAACTGTAACAAGTTAAACCGAAATCAATCATAAATGCATACAACCAAAAGACAAAATTAATTCATCGATCAAAGCATTACAGCTTTTCAATATTGAAATTGACAAACTGTGATTGTGGTAAAAAGAACAATATATCTTTGGAAATTAAACAAAAAGGAAATGTTATCCACATTATAAACTGTAAGCAAAATTCTGTTGATGTGCTTTAGAAATTACATTTACTTACTGCAGTGCCTCGAAACAAGACTTAAGTATTGTGCTGTACCTACAAAGACGAAATCTAAACAGTGAATCTTGTGAAATATGATGGAAGCTTCACTGTGATTTCTCTAACAAAAATTAGCCTTCATATACCTATCAAGCACGTGAGATATTTATTAAGCATCACATGAACACATGCAAGCCCCACAACAAACGGAAGCACAATCTTATCAAAGTGGAAAACTCCCTAAAGTTCAAATAATAATAATAATAATTATAATAGAAAGCCCAACATAAATTAAACTAATCTAAAACATACCCAATATTAATGTTGATGAGCTCCCCTAAGTAGAATACCTGTCTTTCCTTGGAAAATGGCCATCCGTTTCCTGCGTCGCCATTCGCTCTCATTCATCCGATAAACCAATCCAACGGTTACAACCACATTCACATTAAATCTCCCTGGTCTTGATCAAGCACCATACTTATTACTAGACTTTAATTCAAGTTGCCTATTTTATTAGTCTTTGTGGAATTCTAGCAATGATTGACTTCATGCGTGTATGGGGCTTTCTATTGCTCTAATTTGGATTAGTCTAATAATGTAATAGAATAGAAAGTTCTCTTTGATTTTCTTGAGAGAATGGTACTTGTACTACATAACTCCTAGCTTTAAGAATTTGAGTTAGTTAAGCCAAGCTGGTGTCATTACTCCTCTCACATGCATTGTAGAGATCTGATACCCCTCTCTAAATTGTTGATAATCCTATCATATGTGCTAGCTAGTTATACGGAATTAATAGGATCTTTCTTGTGATGATTAATTTATGATGGTTATAATTGATAATTGTTCAGGAGTGTGAACCTTCTCATAGAATATTTGAAACAAAGTGCATATGGCATACAGACGAGCATATTTGCTTCGTGTTACTCTTTTACAGGGGAAGCACATTATCTTTACCTAAAGAGAAAATGTTTTGCTCTTGCATTCATATCGCCAGACAAACAAGATAAGGTTTTTAGTGCACAATTTTCCAAATTAAAGTAGAAAACTTAGCATTCAAGTTCATGGAATATCTCAAACGAAGTGCATGCATGATTTACAAAGAAGCATATTTGCTTCATGTAATTCTACACATTTACAAGGGAAGCATATTATCTTTAAGTAAGAGAGAAAATGCATTGCTTAGTCATATTGAAGTTGCATTCATGTCTCCATATAGATACTAAAGATAAGGCTTGTAGTGACATTCTCCACATTGAAGTATAAACCTTATTAACTCGAGTCCTGTGGCTACGAAATTCCCTTCCTCACGTTTCTTTCTAATTTGATACCAGAGATGGTGCCTCGATGAGAAACCCTATATATATATAATGTCATGCAGAGTTATAAAGAAAATGAATGTAAGATTGACAAAATATGGGGACTCTGGTTTAATGATTCAAAAATTATGATCATTCGCAGAGACATGTAGATTTGCTTGCTCAAAAACAAGCATATCTGGCTCTGGTTATAAGGATGGGTGTATGTTTTGGTCTGTAGGCTGGTTGGGTTGGAAGTGTGCATGGTGTAAGTTTTTTGTTTTGGTTGAAGAGGATAAGATGTGTTAAGAGATATAGGTAGTAACTCATAAGCTAGCAATATGTTATTACTCTTGCGGTTGTTCTTGAATATTCGTGTATATCTTCTTAATTACTAAAATAGTTTCATTATTTCCTCACTTTAATTTTCTTGGCCTATGAATAAGTTTCTTTCATTAAACCAATTTGGGAGATGCATTGTTTCACTCAGGCATACCTGAGTATAGTACTAGGTCGCTATAACTACTACAATATCCTTCATTTTCTAGCTGTTTTCTGCCTCGGAAGCGTAAAGTTCTTTGTCAATCCATACAATATTATTGGGGTTTCATTTTACTTTTCACATTTGATTTGTCAATGAAATGTTGATATCATTTGAATGGTACTGTTTTTATCTAAATATTTGCTCTAAAGAAATTAAGGGAACAATTTCATCCATATTTCTTAGTTATACAAAATTTGCATGTCCACTAAACCCTAAACAAATGTGTTACTTTCAAGTTATTGTTGCATTGTCTCTCTACAATGAAACATTCTTGGCCTGGCACATGCGTTTGAGAAGCCTTCGATTTGTTTTAGTGCATAATGTTTCTTCAAAAAAAAAAAAGGTAATAAAAAGCTTTTATCGCTCCCTATTATTAGAAATTTTCTATGATATTTTTGTTAAAGTTAATTTATTTTGCATTGGTTTTCTTTGCTATGCTCTTTGATCTGCTATCAAATGTCGTTGTGCAACTTTAAATTAGGCATATAGCAAATAACCCATTGCAATAAAAAATCATGCCGTCTAATAGAGAGATTTCTTTTTCAATCAAGCCTAATAAAATGAGCGATCCTCGTCCAATTTTTCCCATCAAAGTAGGGGATACATAGAAAATTCTTCCACCATCGCACCGCTGAAGTTGCTTAAACTGCGTTTTTGTTACAAATGATGATTTCCTTCTGTGTCAGTTACAAACTTCTCGGTGAATTTGTTTGTTGATGTGTGTTCCACCAAAAAATAATAACCGTTTGCTGTGCCAATGCAATTACCAGTACACAACAAAAAAAATTTCATTAAATTTCAAAGAAAATTAAATAGAACTTGAATTCCTCTGCCTTTCCCCGCGTCACGCGGGGGCTATTTGCTAGTATCTAATATTGTTGTATCCTTCCTTTCATGCAGATCAGTTTCAGTCTGAGAATTTTTCCTTTAAGGGGCTGTTTGGTTCGTTTCCTTGATATAGAGAAATGCAATTCCATGTAAAGAAACACAAGTTTTGAGTTTTCCAAACTTTTCCAAGAAATAGATTGTTTTGCTTTGGTTCGCACATAAAATTCCAAACTTTTCCAAGAAATAGATTGTTTTGCTTTGGTTCGCACATAAAAAATGGTGGGAAACCAATGTGTTTATTTTTCTTGTGTTTGGTTCGCATAGGAAAAAAAAAGGAAAACTTTTGTTAACAAAGCAGAGAAGGAAAAAAATCTGACGTGGCAGAGTTTTCATCAATTTCACTTGGTTGGGGAAGGAAATCGGAGAGGGAAAAAAAATCTTAGTTGGCGGCGATTTCAGCAAAGTTTTCCCTCTTCCATTCGAGCGAACCAAAGCGGCACAAAGAAATGGACGGAAACAAAAACGCTGACGTGGAGGGCTAAAAATCTGACGTGGAGAAAAAGCTTTTAGGAAACTAACCCTCTTATTTATAGTTTCTTGACCAGAGATTTGCAATAAGATTCATGTAAAAAAATTTAAATGTAGGATTTCAAAAGCTAAAAAGTAACAATGGAGCTAACCTTGATAGTATACGAATTAACAACTGATTGCTATGATAAGATTTCTACTCATTATTTGCAGAACTGATTGCTATGATAAGATTTCTACTCATTATTTGCTGACACTTTCGAACTTGTATCCTCAACTGTAACTTAACTTGTTACCTTGTTACTCCCTAACGTGTTGTTATCTCGCCATTTTGATCTTAGTTCAGATAGCTTATTTACAACTACTGATAATATAAAATACCTTCTAATCCATAACTTTCTAGCTCTAAATTATGTTCTTAGTAAACAATTTATGAGCTCAAGAATTAATTATTGTTTAGTATCAAATTTCAGGCTCGAAACTTACCAATCACTTCCAAAGGTGTATGAATATTCATAGAGAAAGCCCCTGACAATATGATAGGCTTAAAATATTCTATAAATTTGAAGGGAAAAAGGTAATTTGAAGGGGTTGAAGAAAGATATCTGAAATAATTCAGCTATATGGTATGCATCTCATTCTAGCAAATATCATCGCATATAAGATTTTCAATGGCTGCATTAAAAAAAATCATATTCTAAATTATCCACACATTAGAAAGTAACCTGCAAAGCAGCCTACCGGGAAAAAAAAGGAAAGTAAACTAGAAAGCTAAGTTTGAGAATAGATTGAACTATGAGCCAACCTGTGCCCATATGGCCTATAAATTAACAAGTTTCCAGCTGTACTAATGTACTCTCAGTTACATCTAAGAGATGCATACTACTTGATTGTTCTGTCGTCAGAGGCACTTAAGAGGATTTTATTTATTTATTATTTTTTTCTGTTTTTTTTTTCCTTGTGTGAGCGTATGCGCATTTTTTTCTTCATTTTCAAAGTTTGGGGGTTTGGGGTTGGATAAAGCACTAAGGGGATGTTTGATTCATGAATAAGTACAACTATAGCAAATAAGATGTTGCGGTTGTATTGATTTACTGTTATCTTGTGCCCCCCCACAAAAAAAAAAAAAAAAAAAAAAAAATCCCCACCCACCCAAAATAAGATGTTGCGGTTGTATTGATTTACTGTTATCTTGTGCCCCCCCACAAAAAAAAAAAAAAAAGAAAAAAATCCACACCCACACAGAGAGACAATGGCATGCAATATTCTTTTCAGTTCTGAGATTCTGTGACCGTATACGTACAATATGTTATTTTCCTAGCATATGTTATGGACATCTTACTTGTTCTCCCCAAGCAAAAGACAATAAATGCCCCACACTTTCAAGGGAATCTAATATACCTCACATAGAAGACTATAATTCAGATTCATACGATTGATTCAAATAAATATAATCAATATTCGAAAATTGAACCAGCTCGTGAAGAAACACTTTCACATGGAATATAAACAATGGAGATAATGTACCTGTAAAATTTACAAGATCCTGTTATTAAGCAGCTTGTAGAAAGGTGTAACGTAAAAATAAACGCAAAAACATTAACTTACAACCAGATTAATGGACGAAGCCATAAAGTATGGCATACTAATGTACATACAAAACTTTTATTGCCAATAGATAATACCAATCTGTCTCCCATTTATTAGTCCCCAACAAAGAATTTACAGCTATAAATGAAATTTAGTTAAAGGAACACCCCTATACAATTGCCCTGAGCCAATTTATTTCCCCTGAGGCTCTTACCTTTCTCATCCTCTTGCTCTTTATCTTTTCAGACTCCACACGAAAATTAATGATGTCTTACACTTGTCCAAATTATTTACACGACTAGTTAAATACAATCCTAGAGCAAAACATCAGGGAAAATCATAGTTAGTCAGTAGGTTCAATTGCCTCAGAATTCTTCTGCCTCATTATTCTCTCCCTCATTCTCTGCTTTGCTCCAGCTCTCCGCCGAGAATCCTCCATTTGTTGCTGAGAATCTACTATCAATTGCTTCTTCCTGAAGTGTTCCTTCAAATCCCTGGAAAAAATAGTACAATTTTGATCAATGAAAGGAAAACAGGAAGAGAGAAGGAATTAATACTACCAACTCAAGAATGGGGGCATACTTGCATCGAGGCACATGACATTCCTGTTCCCTGCAAAATCGAGCATGGGTGTGGAGAATGTACCAAATCTTCATACAAAATTTACAACCTCCATTGGCACGAGTTTTACATTTTGTACTGTGATGGAAGAGACCTTTGAGCTTGAGGCAATATGGAGAAGTGCAGCGAGAGTCACCACACTTGGAGGCATGTAACAAAGGAGCACCACATAAATCCTGTTCACAGAGCAAAATGGATGTGGTTTAAGGATCCCTTTCTTGAGAAAGTAATTTATTATTAAATTTAAATGAGTTGAACTAGGGTACTACGCATAGAATCCATGATGCCGATACTACAGGCACAACCATGCAAATTTAAATTTTGGATTTCAAATTAAAAATCTGTATCCTCAGATGTGATGTAACGGAAAAAACAAAATTACAAATTATTTTGACATGTTCTTAAGCGAGTATCATGGGATAAAAAATATTCAATTTTACGAAAATTATGAACATCAACAAAAGATAAATGCTTCAAGCACTTTGAGGTCACTAGAGATTTATCCCTAAATAGATTTTTGTAAATAAATCACAACCAACTGTATGGATTTTCTGTATGGAAATCCAAATTTTAAATTCAACATATGGTATTCACATGTTGTATACAATCAAGTGTCTCTGTTTTCCATTTTCTGTTTGGAAATCCAAAATTTAAATTCCAATAAATGGTATTCAAATATTGTATACAATCAACTGTGTCACTTTGGAAGCCCTGACAAATGTCAGACATAGACCTGCATCTAGAAGAATACATATGCAATTGATAATGATGTGGTTTGAGTCATGTTGGTAACAATTCAATGTCAGCTTAGTAGCTTACCAATAATATGAACATCACTTTGACATATGTCCAAGCAAGGAATGAAACTGTTTTCCCTTGAGTCGCTAAAAATTTCCAGGCAAACAATGGCTCACACAAGGAATTAAAGACTCACAAAAAGACATGGTAATTTTTTTCCATAAAATTATGTTAAACCTTGGAAGTCTACCTCTACAAGATGACAAACTTTTCAGACCATTCCAGATCTTCATGATATAGAAATGATCCAGAGATCTAGAAGATTTCTTAGTATTTTAATATATAATCTGTCATGGTGTGAAACTCAATAAATTTTACCTAATATTAGAGGATGTCCCGGTTGGAGATGTTTCAATTAAATAAGTAGAATAAAGCTGAATGCGATAGGATAATGTTAAGACAATACCTGCAAAGATTTTACTTGCTTGCTTTGATTGCTCCTCTGTGAATTACGATCACCCATCTTGGCACCTTGAACCAACTCATGCTCATGTGGAAAAGTGCCTTTTTGATAGCAAGAATCACATAAATCATAGCCAGTGCAGCTCAAGCAATGCCAGCCCTCAGCTGTGTCTACATCATTGTGACAACCAATGCAAGTAGATACCAAAGGAGAAAATGGATTATGCAGATGATAAAGGATCATCATTGTTGAATGTTTTGCCCTTCGAAGTGTATCAAATTGGTAATGTTTGTACTGGCAATGACTCAAGAACATCAATCTAGTGTCAAATATTTCACTCTGTATAGTTTCATCATCATCATCAATGGTATCAGCTGGAATGTTGTCCACCTGAACCTGCTATCATGATTAATCTTTAGACAACAATCCATTGATACATTAGCAGGCAAGCAATATTTAGGTACTCACGTCGTGAAATAAATGGACTTCGCATGTGCCACTAGGGTGTCTTTCTCTCTTTTCCAGACTCTGTTCTGACAGAAAGCACCTGCTTGAAAAAATAGCAACCAAGTAAACCAACATGCATTCCAAAACTGAACTATGCGATATCAAAATGAAATACACTCAGACAGCTGTATTACTTGAACACGGGACTGGAACAATACAGTTTATACATGCATTAGGTACTCCTTGTAAGAAGTGGAATAAGAAAAATAACTTTGGGAAGGAATCAAATACCCAAAAGTCATCTACAGTGAACGAGAAGACTTCAATGCAGGTGCTAACATTATATTCCACAGTAGGACAATAAATTGCATCACATAGAATCACCACCAACTAGAACACATATTATTCCACTACACCCCCACCCACAACGTGGTTCCGACTTATAGGCGCACGCGCACACAAACATCAAGACCGGGAAAAAATACAGCAAACACACAAATATTGGCTATAAATCCCTCAAATGCATCAAAGTAATAGTTCCCATTGCCTTGTGTTTGGCATCTGCCTAAAGCTCTAATCTATTGGCAAATGATGGGTTATTATAAGGAAAACCAAGCGGATTGTGAAGGGTATGAAGCCCGCAAGGCAATGCGCATAGAGAATACAGTAATGATACACGAACTGACCAGTAAATGCAAGTTTCACCGTTCTACAGTCTTGTGAGTTTAGGGGAAATGGAACCTATCAAGATGGCACCCTCTTGAAGCATGAGCTTGCTGACATAAGTAGGAGGTAGAGAGGAAGTTTTCTCCGTTATAAAACTGCTTCTTGAGGAAATTATATGGAGGTAATAGAGAAAATACTTAAAACAATTTATATTGACACCTTCTACATATTTAAACAGTATTGCATTAAAATTGAGAAAGTTTACATTTTGATTTGAAATGAGAGATTGGATTCGTGAATTATAGAACAAAATTGAACACGATATTTCGATAGTATCATAAAACTGTTTTCTTAAGTAAAAAAATTGTTGGAATTATCAAATCAGACAGACGATTAATTTTCTTTTTCTGTTGTGCTTGGGATTGTGTGTGACTGTGTTTGTTGATATATTGTGGGGGATGATGTGTCATTTTAGACATATTGCACAATTATCATGCCCTATCATATTTATGCAGTAATAAAGTACACTGCCGGTGTAATTCTTCGCATCATTTCAGTTAAATGAGAAGCTAAATGACAGCAATGCTCGATAACAGATTTCGGATTGTAAATTCTTATATTTTTCATGTTCATAATAGATTACAATTGATCTTATACAAAAGATGGGTTTAAGATTGTACTAGAACAAATTACTGAAGAAAGGGAGAAAAAAAAAGGGTTAAAACTTTTGCAGAACATCCTAAATGCGGAGACTTTTCAAATGCCATTACAAAGTGGGAAATCACCTATTAAGAAAGAAAGAAAAATATTACTTACTTCTCACAAAGCTGAAAGTTCTTGCAAACACAGCAAACCCATTGCTTCTGAGACAAAATAGGCTGACAGCAATGCTTGCAGACATGCCACAGATGTGCAATGATAAAATCATCCCTCATTTTGCGGATTTCATTTCCAAGCTGTTGTCAATAAGAAAAAACGTTAAAAATAACAAGCAATATTGGGATTAAGCAAATATGTGAGGCGCTAAAGTTGTTTGGGATTTGAGAATAAATTATGTGCACGAACAGCAAAACGGAAGCAATCTTCACAAATCTTTGATCTAGCTGTGAAATTTTTTCCCCATTCAACAACATTAGTCATATATATAGTTGAGCTAGGATAATAGTATCCAACATGCTGATACTATCAACTCAATTTTGAAATTTGGAGTTTGAAAATAAAAATCCAAATTGGTAGATGTGATACATTATTCATGAACTTCTTAGAAATAAAATTTCAAAGGATTTCGATATGATCTGAATCAAGTATCAAGGGGTGAAAAAATCAATAACTTGATTAAATTCTAAAACGTTCATTTTGACGACATATGAAACATGGGATAGAGTGAGGATTCTATCAAAGACTTCCATAGAAAAGGGTGATCTATACCATCACGGACGATTAGAGGATTATGGGAAGTACAACTCATTTGTTTATGGTGTAGATCACTCTACTCTTATAGGAGTGGTTCTTTTTGGATCTCTACTTTATATATACCAGTATAGTGCACGTGCTTTGTGGTTATAATTGTTTTATATTTTTAATTTTTTTAATTGAAAATTGGTGAAGTGATTTTTATGACAATATAAATTCTTAACTTGTAATTTTAGACTTTTGGGTTAATAATGAAATTGTACAATTAAATTGTGTATAAATAATTGATTGAATAATTATTATAATTTAAGCATAATTTATTTTAAATAATTATCACACATTAAATAATTATTTAATATTATAATATATCTTAATTTATGATAATAATATAATTGTAATTTAGGATAAGTATAATAAGTCATAATTCTCTTTTATACTATTAAACTACTATTTATTTAATAGTGTAATTGTTAAATTTTTAAGATAAGTAATACTATTGAACTAATTATACTATTTATATTATTACATTCATACCATGTTATTAAATAATAGTATCTTCTTTTTGTGAAAATAGTATAATTCTTACTTTTATATTATATTATTATTATAAATTTATTAATTATGTGTTTTGGAAAGTGAGAAGGCATAGTTAATAAGAGGTAGTGTAATTAGTTAAAGATTAAATATAGATAATGGACATAATTGCGAATTATCAATCAAAACTAAAAGGGCAACAAAAGAGACGGTCAAAAATTTTGACATAGAACCCTCGTTTATACTACTATACATGCATGCATGTGTGTGTGTATGCATGCATGCATGTGTATGTGTATATGTGTGTGTGTGGGAGAGAGAACCTCTTATAAACTTAAGTGGATAGAAACTCTTATCCACCAAATTTTTTAGCCTTTCACTTCGCTTTGAGATTCATGTTAGACTTGAAGGGTATCTTTGAGATGTGTGCATTGATTCATATCACATGCTAGCACAAATCTCAAAGTAAAATTAATTGATAAAAAAGTTGGTGGACAAGAGTTTCTATCCACTTAAATTAAGGGTATTCCTACACATACACATGGATTGAGAGCTGAGCTACAATCCGCATAAGTCGATAGAGATTTTTGTCCTCCTCACTTTTAAACCGTTAGATTGACATGATGAATTAAGATCTCATTGAATGATCTGGCACTCTTTTATTGGCAGAGGGCACTTTGTTTTTTTTTTAAATCAAAATATGAGTATTAAAATACAACGTTTCGCTTCTCTCTCCATACATCTCGCTCTCTCTTGACATCAGCTCTTTCCATGACCTTCAATTGCGATAACAAAAATGAAAACAAGTTTAGAGGAGAAAATATTGAATAGGAGAGGTAGAAGAAGGATTAGCAGAAGAGATTTGATATAATTAATAAAGGAAAATTGTACTAATAATCTATCCAAGTTCCCTTAATTCCCTACATTTAAATTATTAAAAATTTATTTAAGTCCCTCAAATCCTGGCATCTTTGTTCCCTTGCTTGGCATGCCCGTATCTTATTTGCTGACACCATGGCTAATATGGTTTCAATTACAATAACTTTCAATTTTTGTAATATTTTGTAACTCATTTGAGCATCTTGAAAAAATATGTATAAATCAATTTATCAGCATATATAAACAAATATAATTTATGCAATAGCATTTTCATAAGTTCCAAGGATCCATTTATGATATAAACGGATAAGATGGAAATTCTTTTAGGGCAACACATATTCTTTTCCTATGAATGTGATGAAAAGAAAGTAATTGACTAAGAATATAGGAAAATGATCGGTTTGCTGAATTTATGTTTTTGCTCCACGAGACTGAGAGGGGAAGAAGAGAATCTATTACAGGAAGATAAAATAGGTTTCTTTCTTTATTTTTACCATATTGTATTCTCTCACTATAAAATAGTCATGTCATTTAATGAGATCTGAGTCCATCATGGATCATGCCAATCCAATGGTTAAAAACTTAAGAGGACAAAAGGCTCCATCCACTTAAGCAAATTGTACTTATACACACACACATAATCTACATAGTAAAATAAACATACAACATTAGTATGTTTATTTTACTATGTAAATTATAAATAAGGAACTAATTGTATATGCACGCTATAGGTGATAATCTTTTGCAGATTTGAAGACAAGATGAAACCAAGAATAGAGATAGAAGAACTAATGTAATAAAAAATACATCTACAAAATGGCGGATCTAGAAAAAATTCTTAGGGGCCAAACTACAGGTATCTATTTACAGAAACAAACAGAACTCAATTCAGAGATGTATAGCTCGGGATAGAAATGTTTTAATGAGACAATGTCAAAACAATTTGTAGTAGGCTGAAAACATGCACAGAAGCTGAACTTGCACGGGCCATAACTTTTGACTCGATTATCAGAATCACTATATTTTCGAAAAGCTCTCGATGTGACCTACAAAAATAATATCTGCAGGGGTGCAGCTGTTCACACCAACCACCCCTTGGATATGCTCCTACATCTATACCATGATTTCCTTTACTTATGTAATCAACAATACATGTATATATATTATGAAAATGCAAGCAACTTTGGCTCTAAATTTTTCATTCATTAGGCATCTTGAGCACACAAAGAGTACTCTCAAAAATTGCAAATATATCCCAAAAAGTTACATCATTCTCCCAAAATATTACAAGTATATCCCCAAAATGTTACAAGTTATAGGCAAAATACGGATGTCAAAACAAAACAAAATACAAAGTTAACTTAATTCTCTGACTCGTCAAACATAGCGGCTTCAATCTTCAGCTCATCAAGAGAAAGATTTGCAACCTCTCAACCTCTAATATGTTGGCATCATTAAAAGTTTTGAAGTCATCTCCACCTATATCCCACATTCTCTCCTTCAGAATATTTGTGGGATCTCCTTGAGAGAACGCAAAGATTTGTTATGAAAATACACCAAATCTTTTGCTCGTTTGGGATTTATTTTGTTCCTTGTTATGGAATAGATAAACTTGTAAGTACTCCAATATCTCTCACAACAAGGTGAGCAACATGGATTATTAAGCAACTTTAGAGCTAATTCTTGCAATTTTGGAGCATAAGCCGCATGGATGACCCACCATAATTTAGGTCCCACTAATCTCCTATCATACAAAGATTCACAATCCAAAAATGCATCTTATCACGCGAATTTTTTTATCAAATTCGATATTAACCATCCGCCATTCCTAAGATTTGGAAATATATATCTTCAAGCGTTTAGATCTTTCATTAGAGATTTTGGGACCCTTGTCTAGTGCAACCCGGTTTGGGGCATCGGTGAGCCAATGCACACAAAAAACCTAAAAACATGAAAGCTCGCTTGAATGGACTAAATATGAAAACTCACTTGAAAAAGCCAAATATGAAAACTCACTTTAAGGAGCCAAATATGAAAACTAAATAAATTCATTAAAAAATGAAGATTAAAAGTTCAGTGAATGAGAAAATACTCACGTTGGATTTAATGAGTGAGCCAAATAATGTAACGAGGTGTTGCTCTTATTTCACCAATTAATTAGAATGGAACATACAATGCAAGAAAATGATGATTCTTCATCCTCCATTATTACATTCTTTTTTATATAAATTGAGCTCTTCACCTTCTCAATCGTTGAATCCTACATGTCATAAACCAAATGTAGGTGAGATTTGTCAGTGTCGGTGGATCTAAACATATTATATATAGGCTCGGTAAATGAGATATACTCTATATGATCCCACCAAAAAACTTTTCGCTTGACAAATTGTGCCTTGACCACCAAATTGATAAGACCACACATATTTCCTTAAAGCATCGTAGCACGATAACTACCGAAGCAAAATGAATTTTGGCACTAGCAAGCATCTCACATGGTTATTAAACATAGCCAATCTCATAGAGTGATTCATGATAAAACTTCTTATCGCCAAAACATCTCCATTAATTTCGATAATCCAACCATATTTCTCATACACTATTCCATTTTTTCGGTATTCGAACATATATTTTTAAGTGCAAGATTAAGTGTGTGAACCACACAAATGAGTCCAAAAGATATGTAGATATCTCATCTCCACGATGCCCTTACAAACTCACAAATTGGTGCATTATCAATCACAACTTGCACCATATTTTGTGGACCAACCTCTTCAATAGCTTTAATGAATATTCGCATAATATACTCTGCATTCTTAGAATTCCCCTCTGCATTGACGGCATATAAAAACATCGATCCATCTTTGCTCATTGCAATAACATTAATGATGGATCTTCTTTACAAATCGGACCAACCATCACTTGCAATGGAGACATCATTCTCTTTCCATGTGTTCTTTAGCGACTCCCAAAAAAATTGATGTGTGCATTATATCTTTGCAAGAGACTTATCCTTAGGCAAGAGAAGTCGGGAGGAACATATCCTCCAAACGAATTGTTTGTAGCATAATACTTATACGACTTAATGAAGTAAGGATTCCTCGCCAAATGAAATGGCAAACGGGCCATGTAAAACATTCTTGCAATTAGACCATGTAGATGATCTTGACCTCCACGGATAAAAGATTTTCCTACAGTAAATTCACCATTACTTTCCCTTCTTACAACTTTGCTTGTGGCTGTTGTTGTTGATATAGATAATGAAACATGTTTTACCTTCTTATTATTTATTCTAACCTCTACTTGATCCGACACTCTCTTCATCTCATCTATATTTTCCTTCTTCACACTCTTGCAAGCTTTAATACCATGATTTAGGAGCCTCAAAAGATGGCCCTTCACCCTCAAATGGTAACTCTCAAAAATTTCATAACAATAGTTTATAGTTGCATTACCATAAACAATTTCCTCCACCTCCTAGCAGTTTTTTGAGTTTGAAAACACATCTCTAAAGAGGAGCAATATCATCCTCCTAACTTTAAAATATCTCTATCCACACCAATAGGACTTGGCATCTCCATTTAACTTCCTATATAATTATTAAGTATAAACCAAACAACCACTAATTAATCATATATCAAAAAATCAAGCACCATGATAGTTTATAGTTGCATTACCATAAACAATTTCCTCCACCTCCTAGTGGTTTTTTGAGTTTGGAAACACATCTCTAAAGAGGAGCAATATCATCCTCCTAACTTTAAAATATCTCTATCCACACCAATAGGACTTGGCATCTCCATTTAACTTCCTATATAATTATTAAGTATAAACCAAACAACCACTAATTAATCATATATCAAAAAATCAAGCACCATGATAGTTTATAGTTGCATTACCATAAACAATTTCCTCCACCTCCTAGTGGTTTTTTGAGTTTGGAAACACATCTCTAAAGAGGAGCAATATCATCCTCCTAACTTTAAAATATCTCTATCCACACCAATAGGACTTGGCATCTCCATTTAACTTCCTATATAATTATTAAGTATAAACCAAACAACCACTAATTAATCATATATCAAAAAATCGAGCACCCTGATAGAGAGAGAACATAGACTAAATAAAACAATCAAATAAGGAATCAAAATTTGCAGCTTTAACTTAAAATTGCTATGTTGCTCGGGTACTTCTATAAGGAAGTCGTTCCTGTACTAGACACGTACACGGCAATTTCCCATACCCAAACTTCATGGACACTTATTGAATATATGCATGCATTTATTACAACATGTACTTAATTATACGATATATGTGTTAATTTAAAACATTTGTCAAATACTTCTTGGATGTATAGCTTACACTTCACATCCATTTCTTGAAACTAGCTAGATATGGGTCACGTTCGTTTCAGTCCATACCCAGGTTCAAAACTATATAGTTAAAGGGTCGTTTGGATATCTAATTAAAAAAATGAGTAGTTTCCAATTTATGATAATTAATACGATAAAAGAAACTTAAAAATATGATCAGAATTTTAATTCTAATGACATATGAAGCGGAAAAAATGATCTTATGTACATTATTAATTCTAGATATATGTATATGTATATGTATAGATATACATATACATGTACACGTATACGTACGTGTGTACACGTGCATGCGCACGTACGCGTGTACGTATATGTGTATACGTACATATAGTATATGTGTATACGTACATATGTGTGTGTGTGTGTGTGTGTGTGTGTGTGTGTGTGTGTGTGTGTATATATATATATATATATATATGTGTGTGTGTGTGTGTGTGTGTGTGTGTGTGTGTGTGTGTGTGTGTGTGTGTGTGTGTGTGTGTGTGTGTGTGTGTGTGTGTGTGTGTGTGTGTGTGTGTGTGTGTGTGTGTGTGTGTGTGTGTGTGTGTGTGTGTGTGTGTGTGTGTGTGTGTGTGTGTGTGTGTGTGTGTGTGTGTGTGTGTGTGTGTGTGTGTGTGTGTGTGTGTGTGTGTGTGTGTGTGTGTGTGTGTGTGTGTGTATACGTACATATGTGTGTGTGTGTGTGTGTGTGTGTGTGTGTGTGTGTGTGTGTGTATATATATATATATATATATATATATGTATGTAGACATATATATATACATATACATATATATATATATAGACGTGTCCCAGTACCCTACATTTTATAGTTTTACCGTGTCTCGTACCCGCACCGGCAATAATACCCGTACCCATTTCCATGCAACTTAGTAAATTTGATATAAAAATCACTGCTTTAAAATTCAGTTAACAGAAAACTGGACGTAAATAAACAGAATACTTAAAATGCAACTTTAATAGAAAATTGAAATACAATTGCAAGTTTTTTTATGAAATTGACAAAGAAATGAACCTTAGAAATACAATCAATAAATTGTTCAAAACATGATCATTTGGATACTATATAACAAGGATCCTAACTCGATTACAAATAAGATATCGATTTTGAAAACCCTTAAAAACTCTAAAAGTTAAAAAAAATTAAAAATTACTCACTATTTCTTGATAATTATCTCCTCAAAACACTCCTCCGGATCTCGCTGACCTCCAATGAAGCCCTATTCAAGGTAGTCTATCGGTGTCAAGCGTTGTTCGGAACGGAGGAAAACGTTCATTTCTGGGTTCGAAGATGATGAGGAGAGAACGGAGAATAAATAGGGAAAGGATAGGGTTTTAAAAAAATATTTAGGTGATGGGTTTGGGTTGTAGGGTTCAAACAACTTTTGTTTTTGAACCCAATAAGCTATGAACTTAAGTTTTGGGTTATTTGGTATAGGAATACGGGTTATTTCAGTTTCTTACCATACCCGCAACCTGTCTGCTGCGAATCTGTGCCCAACACGTATCGGGCATGGATTCGTGGCCTCTTTTGTAGTGCCCGTATTACCTAGCTGGAAAGTAACGCAATTCTACAGTAAAGCTGATTTCTGAATGAATTACCTAACGTAAATGGTGAAAGACCCGAAGCCAAAACCAGAAGAACAATATATAGAGATATCAAAAGAAAAAAGCGAACGATTTGGCAAAAATATTTACCTGGTACATGAGCAGAATATCTTTCGGATTTTCTATTAAAGAATCCCGTCTAAAAGCCCTTAGAACTCTATCAGTTACAGCCTTTCTTCCTTTCTTCTGAGGCTTACTACTATTCTCACTTTGTAGGAAAAATTCTGCTGCTCCTGGCCAGTAATCACTATCAAAATATGGCAAACGCGCTGCAGTTATCTTAGCCTTGCATTCGCCAGTTTTTACAAAAAATTCATCGTATAAGTTAGTGTGCTCAGCAACAATGCCTTCTTTAGCAGCTTTCCGAACTACTGACTGGTACCTGGTATAGATAATAAAAATAATATCATGATGTTAGATTAGGAAAGGGCATATGGTTGTAAGTTAGACTGCAGATATACACTTGTGAGCTAGGCTGCAGATGAGTAGGACTTGCCATTCACGTAGCTTCTCTGGCTTTGGCATCTTCTGTATCTTAGGGTGGCAATATAGAATATAATCATCATCTCGCTTCAGAGGTGGGCACGCCCATACATGGCAACTGGTGAAACCTCGCTTCTTACAATAATCAAGGTATCCTATCTACAAGGATATGCAACTAGTAGTTAGTGTTTTGTCTCTACTCTAAAAAGGTGAGTTGGAGTGAGGATCATAGAGATCAGCAAAAGAAAGAGAGTATTACATGAATCAAATAGATGAAAAATGTGTAACAAAGATTAAAGTTTAGAAGTTTCCCATACCAAAATCTCATGATAAACAAAGGTGCGGAGAGCTTCTCCAGTCACAGCTGCTACCTTAGGTCTGAAATATTTGACAGAATCAAGATATGAAATACAAACACGTCTTCTGTTTGGGTCTGCACATCCTGAACCATATTCTTGTACATACATCCCAAAGAGGCAAACATCTGCACCATCAATGTTTTGAAACAAGAGTATGGCCTGCAAAAATCAATGTGGCATGATCAAATTTAGTATAGTTGCATTGTTCAAGCTTATGGTTGAAGATTCGAAGACATGTATCCACTTATTGGTGTATTTGTCACATTTATGCTTGTTTATTAATGTCGCTAAGACTTTGGGCCAAAAAAGTTTACTGCAGTTGACATGAACAAATACTTGATCACCAACACTGTGAAAGGTGGTTGATTCATCAGGTCCTTAGTACAAGAAAATACCAAGTACCAGATTGCTAGCAAAACAGACCACGTACACCTAGTTTTGATATCTCTAACCTACTCTTTTGGCTCCCACCCTTCTCCCCTCTTTCAATCCATTTCTTACGATTGTTCAGACGAAATTTACTTAACAAATTTTAGGATCTTAGGAAGATTCTCCAAAAGAACCTGCATAAAAAGTGAGCATAATGTGGCTCCTTTAGAAGAGTAATCATCACCCATCTTTTTGTGATAAATTCCTCCAGTAATAATCATTTGGATTTCAAATGTCAAAACCATGAATGTGAAATAAATATTTACAGCATGAGCATTAATTTAGTATTATTTGCCTATTATTGGTTTCTGAACTTCAAAACTTATAGTGTTTCTAATTATTGCATAAGTGCCATATCTTATGTCAATTACAAAATAAAAAATAAAAACACAATAAGAAAGTTTTCTCCGATTTCCACCTTCGATTTGTAAGGAAATTCTGTAGGGTATATCTCTTCCTGAAAAATATCTCGAAAAACTTGTTTTACTTCCAGTTTCTTGACAACTGATGATACAACTCTTACAACAAGGCCTTCAGCTCCTGGAACCTGAAGCCACAAAGAAGAATCAAGTATCAGCCACAAGGCTTAACCGTGGGAACATAATGTTTCTACAGAAGCAAGGCATAAAAATGATCTTTTAAATTGCCGACATCTCAAGAGACAAAAAAAGATGCAGTCTTAACATATAGATAACGTATTCATCGTGACAAACTATGTGCATGAATATAAACAAGACCCACAAAGAAACAGTAATCATGAAAAAGGTTATATGTTTATTCTAAACTTAAGTAAATTAAATTCCTAACTTTTTATTAAGCTTACTATTGCTTTTGATGTGACACATTTTACTGATGTTCTAATAGTCTGTTCAACACTACAGTACTTCTAGCATATCCACCCCTCACCGGAACTACATGATCAAGTGCAATGGCAGCCGAAGCCTGCAATGTGCACATCATGAGAGGCAATGCATTAAAACCAGCAATTTATTCCACTTCTCATTAAAACGTCACCAAGTTGTATGCAATCATAAATCAACTCTTAATTGTAGCTTGAAAAGATGCAGCTAAAGTATGAATATCAACTAAAACTTGCAGCAAGATTTTGTATGGTTAACGCTGAAACCTAGCGGAATTCAGTGACAACTTAGAAACTGCTTTGATCATGTTTTGAAAATGGTTAAGGTGACTTATAAGCCACTTTTGTGGCTCCACTTTTGTGGCTCCACTTTTGTGGCTTATAAGCCACTTTGAGATGTTTAGCAAGTGGTTTATTCTGGTTTATGATCCACCAAAAAATAAGCTCCAGTATCCTAGCTTTTTTTTTTGTGCATTATAAGCCATGAGGTTTGACCAAGTTAAAGACAATTATATCCCACAAAATTCAAGGTCTCATTTACTAACTCACCACCAACCTCATGTCCTTCTTGGTCATTTTGACAACAAAGATGGATTATAATCCACCCATTGTCAAACACTCTAATACTGAAGATGGATTATAATCCGCTAAATTTACCAAACACTCTAGATACAATCCACTTGGATTATAATCCATTTGTGAATTACAGTCCATTTGGGGATTATAATCCAAGTGGTTTATAAATTTGGATTATAATCCAAAGTTCCCAAACATGCTCTTAGACAAATCCCCGATTAGTTTATATCAAAAGTTAAAACCCAGGTCCTAAAATATACTTCACTCAATTTTTATTAATTAAAAAATTACCAAGGATGAGTATGAGCACAGCACTGAGGTGTTTCAGCAGAATTCATTACTATCTGACAGGTTCAACTATAGAGGAATGGAGAAGAGGTAATAGTCGTAATTATTCACTATTTCCATTCGCATTCTCAGTTATGTATGCATTCATTCTCCTCAATCCCTGTAAAAAGTTACCTAACTAGATCATAAGATCATGATCATGTAACAAAACAAGACCAGCAAACCAAGTTTTTATTTGTGCTAATCTGCACCAAATATCAAGCAAAGATTATTCGTGAATAAGCAAAAAAGTTCTATTTAAATTTTACCTCAGAAAAACTCTTCCCCAAAGAACTTGCTCTTTGCTGTCTCTCTTCTTCCAGACGTTTATAAACCCATTTCTCTATGTGATCACTCAGCAAAGTTGATGGCAAGTCTTTTGCCCCAAGAATCGTACTCCGATATAATGGCTTATGTTCCCCACTCTCTATCTCTTTTAAGATGCAACTAGGGCAAGTATGATCAGCTTGCACTGCCTCATTCCTTACTGAATTAAAAAGAGTACATATTTGGTGCTGCCAGCCCTCGCATTTATCACAATGGACCCACTAAACAGAAAATAAATACAGTAAATAAATAATTGAAACAAAACTATGAAAAGAAAATTATTGGGAGATGTTTTAGGGCCTCACTGATTCATCTACATCATCAGCTTCAACATAGTTCTTTGTCCTCACTAGATTTGCTTTCAAATATGATGTACTACCAAACTTAAGATTTTCACCGGGTTCCTGAAAGCACTCACGGCAGAAAAGGACCTGCAGATCACTTTCATCTACAACACTTTTAATGGAATAACAAACTCCCTTGTGGTTGATCTTTTTATAACATTGTGCACAATATCGAGAAGGTGGTTCAAAACGAAGATCTTTCATCCCACACAAACTGCAGGTATTCATATCTGCTGCAAGTCCCAGCCCTTGGTTTTCTTCTGTCTTTTTTTCACTCTGAAAAGAATCGAAAAGATGAGTATATTTTAAGCAAAAGGGCTATGCAAGTAAGGCATATGTAACTCTGTCTTAAATCAGATGTAAAGGGGTGTTGCCTACTAAACTAAAGAAAAAGTATACGCAGAATTCAAAAAATTAATATATAACAAAAAGTCTTACAGAACAAAAATGAAAGAATTCTGGTTCAATAAAGACTATATCACTCAAGTGACTTGGCACAGAAGTATACATATCAAGACAGACGAAAGAATCCACTGCATATGAAGATTAGAGTTCTGATCGAATTATTTTACGGATTATTTCAAATGTGAATTTGGTCTGACAAGAGCCTTAAATTAAGTCCTCTAACCATTAAACCGAACCAAACCTCTGAAGTTATGATAAGGTTTGATGATTATATTTTTATATTCTAATATGCCCCCATAGGTCAAGCGCCCTTTTAACGGGCTGAAACATGAATTTTTTTTTAAAAATCTGCATTAAATTCATGGCCTATAGAATTCGAACCTAGGTTGCTTTAATATCACCTTAAATTAAATCCCTCTAACCATTACACCAAAACTCTGAAGTTGTGGTGAAAATTAAGGTTTACATATTTATATTCTAACATGCGCCCATAGGTTGAGCGCGCTTTTTATGTGCTGAAACCTAGATTCACATAGCGGTGTCAATTTTTTTAGAAAATCCGCTATAAATTTGTGGTCAGTCAAATATGAACCTGGATTGCTCTGATATCATTTTAAATTAAGTCCCTCTTACCATCATACTAAAACTTAGAAGTAATGGTGAGGATAGAGAATTATAGTTTTATTTAATTCTAACATGTCTCTGCAAGTTAAGTGTCATTTTCCATGGGTGGTCGAAACCTGAACTCACGGAACAGTGTCAATTTTTTTGAAAATCTGCTTTAAATTCGTGGTAAGTGGGATTCAAACATGGGTTGCTCTGATCAGTGTTTTAAATGTCGGCCGACATGTCGGACATGTCGGCCGACATGTCGGGTTGAAGGTGCCAGCGACACAAGTCGGGCTTTCTTAAGTCGGATGTCGTTTTTGGGGAGAATATCGGATAAATCGGCGCAATATCGGCCATATCGGCCGATTTTTCAGGTTTGAAAAATCGGCCGATATGCTATTATATCGGTTTAAAGCTATTTTTTCTTAACAGTCAAATTACAAAACTGTCTCAGGTTGGCTTGGTGGTTGAAGTTTCAGGACTTGGGCACTTCTCTTTGTTAAATCGGATGATTAGTTTCATATCGAAGACCGTTTAGCATATCAAAGACCAAAATTGTTTTAGGATGCAATCGAGAATCAAAGTATGCTTATATTGAATTTAGAAATGCTTAGATTACATTTAGGACGTGGTATTATACATATATGTACTACCCGATATCGCAATCCGATATTTAGTCCATGTCCCCCGATATATCCCCGATTTCCGCTATCCGACATGGATTTCGGCCGTCCGACATGAACCCGACATCCGATATTTAAAACCTTGGCTCTGATACCGTCTTAGATTAAATCTCTCTGACCATTACACCAAAACTCTGAAGCTATGATAAGAATAAAGGATTATAGCTTTATATTAATCCTAACATGCACCCGTAGGTTGAGTGCTGTTTTCTATGGGTGGTCGAAACCCAGACTCATACAGCAGTGTTAATATTTTAGAAAACCCGCTTTAAATTTATGACCGGTGAGATTTAAACATGGGTTACTCTGATACCATTTTAAATTAATTCTCTCTAACCATTACACTAAAACTCCAAAGTTCTAGTGAGGGTTAAGGATTATAGTTTTATATTAATTGTAACATGCCCACGTAGGTTGAGCGCCCTTTTTATGGGCTAAAACCTGAATTTGAACCTGAGTTTCTCTAATACCATCTTAAATCAAGTTCCTCTAACCATTACATCAAAACTTTAGAGTTATGATGAGGATTGAGATAGTTTTACATTAATTCTAACAAAGAGATGTTTTTTGTTGAAACCACTACACAGTAATTGCTCCAAGTAGAATAAGCTCAGTGTAAAGTACCAAGGGTCCATTTGGATGAAAAGAAGTATTGAAAATAAGAAATGAGTTAAAGAAATAACCTCTACACTAATGCAGTAGGAAGTAACGGAAATAATACTTTTTTTTGTTTGTTTCACATACTTTTAGAAGTAGTGGAAATAGTTCTTCTTCATTCACTTGTTTTGTTTGGATAGCAATTGAAAAAATCATAGGAAGTAACTAATACTTCTTACTTCCATGATTATTTTTTGTTTAGAGTTTCATTGAAGTAGAAGAGGTAGTGATATATACGCCATAATAAGATCACCTCCCTTTATCACCTTTAACTATTTTCTTTGAAATATGAATAATTCTAAAGAGATGTCTTTTCAATTATTAAAATTTAAACAGAATGGGCAATGATTTGCATATAAATATAAATTTGATAATTGCTCCTTGAAAATTTTGTATGGCTATAGACTTCCATGGGGTACGAGGTAATTAATAACTTTGGACCAGAACAAAAATCTTATGCAGTTCAGGAACAAATTACTGCTACTAGCAAAAGAGGATTCAATTGGGACTGAATCAAGTGTCTTCTTTAAGGATTGATGTCAAGATACTCAATCACCTTGGAGATCTGACGTCTACTGCCTAAAGAAGGGAGAAATTCAAAGATGGACATTAATATTTGTCTTGTACAGATGATAAAAACTTTTCATCAAGCTGATATAAAAAGGTGAGGAGAACGGGTTTGCCACGAGCGCTATGGAGTTTTTTAGAAAGGGGGCGGTGATACTATCAGGAGAGAGGTTAGCAATTCTCATTCACTTCTAAGAATAAAAACGGATTTCACGTGTCCAATCTTTATGTGGGCCCCAAGAGAATATAACCTACTTCCATAGCACTTCTGATCCGTGAGGGATGGAAAAATTCCAAGAAGTAGTGATGCCACCTAGCCTCCACATCAGCAATTAAGTAAGGAAAGTGTTTTTTCCTGAGAAACAAACAATATTTTTTGTTCCGAAATAGCATTTGTTTTATTTACTTCAGCTACTTGATAGCTACTTCCGTGCAAACAAATTGGCTCTAAGTAGTAGTAGAGACAAGCGCGTGGGTGCACTTGCATGAGCATTTGTTTGTCTGTGAATATGCACAAGCACATAGATTTAAAATATCCTATCCCCAGACCCATAAATTGTGGGATGTAAAATCTTTTGTATCTCCAGGAGGCAATCAACTCTCAACTTGCCATTTGATTAATGCATCGATGGGCTGAACAAGAATATACTAGCTCTGCTGCATGTCTGATCGTACTACTTTTGCCATCTTACTTTCTGATGAATTAGAACGGAATTTGTAGTCTACTTCAAAATGTGAGATAATGTGTTGGACATTAGCATCACAACTGGCACAGCGTGTGCAAAAAGAAATGTTGTAAAACACATATTCACGATGTGTGAGCTTGGTCAGCACGTCATGCACAATCGTTGGATTATGCAGACACCTGTGGGCATATGGATTTGTGTGTGTATGCATCTGTCTGAAACTGAAATAGTTCAAAAGATGTGAATATTTGTAAAAATAGATAAAGTTTGTGAATTATTTGAAAAACTAGTAATGGAATTTTTCTATGAGTATGCAACCTATTTTCTACTCAAATAACGATAACTTGTAAATGACATCAAATTTTCAATATAGCAATAACACGCAGATGAACATCGACAACAAACCAAAAAGAAACTCGTCATTTTTGTAACTTGCCTCTTATATTTCAACAGCTCACATGTTTTGATGGTGCACCGCCAACCTTTCCAATTTGGTGGATGGTTAAATTTTTACAACATGGCATGGGAGGACGAGTTGAATGAATCTTTTCTCATTTTTAAAACAAAATAGCAAATAAACAAGAGACTTCTAGCAAAAACGATGCCGTTAAACAATTTCAGGTCACTATACATCTAGCCATGTAAAATTATACAAGTAAAAAAATGCACGATGATACAGTAATGCGAGTTACTTGAGTTAAATAACTTGTCTCTGTGAAATATGAATCATCCGCACTAAAATTCATGGCAGTAATTGATAGTTCTTTTTCTTGAAAGTGGATGAACATGAAGATGGCGTCATCAGATATTGTGCCAAAAGTAGAATATAAAGCATAGAGAATTCTCTGTAGTAAATGCATCAAAGGACTAAACTCTCGACTCTTGAGCATTAAAAAATTACCTTAGACAACAGTAAGATCTAAGCAACTGATTCCACTCCTAGACAGTAAATGTTGTCATCATAAAATATTATTAAACAGAGATTATTCACCCTTGCTTCAAGGATAATACTAACCTGACCTACTGACTGCCTGAGACTATTGATATGCTCCCTAACGTTCTCTGTAGTGAATGAATCAATCAAAGAAACGCCCATCTTTAGCTTTCGTGGCTTTCTCTCCATCATACAGAGGTGAGATGTCGCAGTATTCATAAATCTATCCTCCAGTTTGACCTTATCTGCTTTTGCTGAAACCTGCATATGTTTACTCTCAGGTTGAACATCTGTCACTTCTAAAGTGGTTGAGGGAACGAGATGTATTTTTACATCTGAAAATGGATTCTCAATTTTGACCATACAACATTCTTGATGACTTTCCTGTAATGAGCTAGTATTCATGCATGCACCCTCCTGTTTCACTTTGACCTTATCTGCTTCCACTGAAACCTGCACATTTTCTTTGTCAGGTTGAGCATCAGTCACTTCTGAATTTGTGGAGGAAACAAGATCAAGCTTTGATTCAATTGGATCCCCAATTTTAACTATACAGCATTCTGGATGACTTTCCTGCGACGAGCTTGAAGATAGCCCTGTATCTAGTTCCATGCTTTCAGGTGCATTATTTACTGACCGGCTCAGTTCTTGGCATTCTATGGTACACGTTTCAACAGGTAGTGATACACTAGAAGTTTCATTCAGACTCTTATGAACAAGAAAATGTTCCTCGGTTTTAGTGCGCTTAGGAGGAGGTTTTTCATGCTCCATGGTATTGACAGTGAGAGAAGAAGCCATAGATTCAGCTGTATCAAAAATAAGTGTTCCATGCAGACCATTTTCCAGACTCATTTTATCAGGGAGGCAAATACCACAAGTACTTGAACAGCATTCTTGGAAGTGAGTTAATAGTTTTTTGTACTTGAAACAGTCTTTTTGGCTACAATTGTCATTACAATTGGAGATGTGGTCAAGAAGCAGCTTCATGTTCATGCAATAACAATGCTCACATCTCCTTTCACGATCTGCACAATGCAGTGCATGGTGATAAAGCAGACGGATGGAACGGAGCATATCATATTTCAACTTCCGCCTTGGCATTCCCAATCCAGCAGCAGCTGTGCCACTCAGAGAACAAAAGCTCAGATCGGGTTTGGATTCTTCTGCGGATGGAGAAAATTGCTGAGGAATACAATGCACTGTCAGGGACTTTTTTGGGACTTCATCATAGTCATTTGAAACTTTTTGGGACAAGTTTTCCCCTGAATTTCTACTTCCCAATGATAAAGGATGTTGCTGTAAATACTGTTCGCCAGACTGATTATATGACTGGTTTTGGACAACACAACCCTTAGCTCTACTGAACCCATTTAAAATGCTTCTATTACTCGTAAACTGTTGCCGCTGATAGGATATCCCCTTTTGCCGGTGCTGAAGGTGATCTGGTTGATTATACTGCAGATCAGGCTGCTGGGAAGATGCATGAAGCTGCTTCTGCCTCATACACTGCGGAAATTGTTCATTTTTTGAACATATTGATGGAGCATTTACTGATGTCAATCTCAAATAAGAATGATTGTCTGACTGATGCATATTTCCAAAACTAGTCAAACCAAATGATGAATTAAAATTACAACCAGGCATAAAAAGATTATCACCTGCCAAGCAGAGTTTTTATAATTTAATTACCATATCAAAAATTAAGACGAAGGATCTGAATAAAATTTCTCAAGAAATGGTAAAATGTCCATACATTTTTCAGATAGAGATGATCTATCAATTGTCTGATCAGTGTTGCTGGCAAATGATGGTGTACCATCATGAGATAGTCCAGAAGGCGTCTGAGATATGGAAGACTGACTGTTGTCACCAACATCATTCAAGAAATGGCCATTCGAAAAATCAACTTGCTTGCTGGATGGAAACATTGTTGAGAACCCATCATCATGACAATTTTCTGATACATCAGACAAAGCTTCGAGACTAGTTTCTGAACCGTGCATAGCATTTCCATCAGTAGAAATAGATGTCTTTGCCACTACACGGTGGTGGCTGTTAGGGAGATAGCCTGCAAAAACATCAGTGTATGATATCAGAGCAAGCAAATGTCTGAAAAAAATGAATCAGTGACCAATTTTTGTGCTTGAACTAACGACGAGAAGCGGTTGGGACACCAAGCAATGAACTCGAAGCTGAGTTGTTGTCTATGGAAGTCCTAACACTGGCCGATGATGCAGTAGCACAATCACTGCTGGAACTTGAATTCTGGTAAGAAGTATCTGAAGAGAGCAGTTCCATATCATGTGGAATTTCACAACTTTGTTCTGTAGCGCCATTTGATGAAAAGGATACATCATTAGCCAATTTTTTGGTGATAGTAACGTTCTTGTGGTAATTGAGCAGATCCTTCAATCTGCTCCCCAGTGTCTCTATGTTCATATAGTGCACCTGGTTGTAGAAAGAAACTGTGAGGTTTCAAATACTCCATGAATTTATACAGCGCCACTTAGTATTTTCTGAACTTGGTGTTGGTTATAACTGTGTTCATGTTTGTTTAATTATTCTCAGGAGTTTATATAACTAGTAATACAACTTGTTCTATTGAAAAAATAGTGAGATGTGGCCGATGTAGATTTGCAAAAGTCTGCAAGCTACCTGTGATGGTGCTCTTCTAAGGAGTATGTCATCCATGTATCTGGCAAGCCTTTCAATCTTTTCATGGTTCCATTCAATTAATGCTGGTTGCTCGCTTAAAAGTTGCATACTGCCAAGAAGTTTTGACAAATGAATATAGCATGTTAGCAATTTGAATCATAAAAGAAGTTCAAGTAGAGGAATTTTATTGCAAAATCTAAAAGTTTGTTTCAGGCTTGTTCTGGGGAAATTGTGAAAACGCCTCATTTTATGTAGGCCTTGTTTCGCACATAGATGTCTTGAAATACTTAGAAATATTTAAAATCTAATAAAGTAAGAGTTCAGTGAAAACAGAAACTTCTCCTAGAATAATTTAACTAAGGTCCTCCTTTTGTCTGAATATTCTACTAAAAGCCTAAATATTTTACATTTCTTTAAAGTGTTCATACATTATTAGTCGATTAGATTAAAGAAGGGATAACTTCCAAAATAAAGAAAACAAGCTCTCAAATCCAAAGGATTTAGAATGAGTAGACAAAAGGTTAAAAGCAGAATGCACAGTGTAATTTTTAGTAAAACTGCAAAATACTGGCAGTCAACAAATACCTAAATAATATATGAATAAATGAATCGTGGAATGAGAGGAAGAAATTGACCAAGATCAGCGGCGGAGCCAGAAAGGTAAGGAAGTGGGGTCCAAAAAATTCATTAAACATGACAACATGTAATATTTTATTGCATGATAGGAATTAGGATAGATAAACATTTAAAAATCATTAAACAATAAGTCTTTTAAATCATATTTAAATTTTAGAATACAGTGTTTAAAATAATATTATGCTTGCCAACTTCTTAATTAGAAAGTTTTCCAATTTTTAGCAAGTTTTCAACTTCTTAATAAGTCGACTAGTCCATTTTAGAAAAATCATGTTGATTAGCAACATAAGGGATGTAGTTCTGAAGTTGATAAGTTCCATGCAATCTATTTTAGACCAGTTGAATCAATTTTCCCTTATCGAACAAAGAAAATGAGTTACTTGGTTCAAGGCATGCCAAAATGATTCTATATTACGACTATTAAAATAGCGAGTTACTTGGTTCAAGGCATGCCACACGAGAAAACGAGTCTATATCAATATTAAAATAGTTGTTCAGTTCTTCGAAATAATAATCTATAAATTATGTTGCATAGGTACGGGTATGGGTTACCGGGACACGGCAAATTTGTAAAAGGTATGGCATAGAGGCACGGGTATATAAATATTTATATACACATTATATATTGGAATTAATAATTTGTATGAGGATAATGATGAAAATTTAAATTCCTATAACATTTTAATGCTTCTTTTATTATGTGAACTATAAATTGGAAAATCACTAGTTCTTGAACAAGACATCCAAGCGACCCTTCAAAATCATAATTTGAAACCGGACCTTTGTCCAACAAGTTTCAAGAAGTGCAGGTGAAGTGTAGGATATATATCCAAAAAATCTATGAAATGTGTTTTATATTAAAACATGTATTATATGATTGAGTACATGCCCGAATAAATATATGCATATATGCAAGGAGTGTCCAAGGAGTTTGCGTACGAGTACGGGTACGTGTTGGGTACAGGTATGACTTCATATTAGAAGTACCCAGATAACACAGTCTATAAATGCATTCAACTTGATAGAGAGAGGAATCGAAAGAATTAAGTTTGAGAAAGTGGTAGGTTCAAGTTAGAGACACGTGAATCACAATTATGACA